AGTCAAGAGAATGAGGCCAACTGCCCCTGTGCTCTTTACACACATCAGTCCTCTAGTTGGCTTGGTGGATCCTGGAACGTCACACCCCTGGGCTACATTTTGGGGATAATCAGGATATTTCTATTCATCCTTCTACCTGGAAAACATAAGGTGCTTGTACCCTGCTGGCCACCAAAACAGTGGCTATATGTAGAGAAGACTGACCTTGTGTCTGGTCAAACAAATACTACAGCCCAGTGTATTCTTGGACGTGACTGTGGAGTCTAAAGACTTCCCTTTTCCACAGAGATGCCCTTCGCTCTCCTAACAAGTCTGGCAGCTCCAGCCCAAGCTGGAAATGAGCAGAAACTTGACCCAAGGACCCTCCAGGGGAAGGGGTTCCCTACATAGCCCCTCTGAATCTCTCACTCATTCCCCTCCACCCACATTACACATGCTATTTCTTCTGCCTGAAATGCCTCTTCTGGGACCCACTTCTAAGAAAAAGAAAAAAAAAAATACCTAAAGCAGAATAGTTTCTAGTACTATGAAACTCTTGAGGCTGGAACAGGGTTTCTGGACTCACCTGCCATCAACAAGAGTTTTATGTTAGATCTTAAATTTAACAAAATAATTCATCTGCCATCTCCTACTGTTTAGCCCCAAAGGCAAGATTCTCCTGAAGTTTACACTTTAGATGTCTGAGGCTCGGAAGTATCAGGGAGTAGGGAACAAGTGGCCTTTCTTACCAAGAACAGCCGTCCAAGTTTAGGGGCTGTACTGCCAAGCTCAAAGCCTGTTAAATTACCCAGTAGGAGCAATAATGCCCCCACACCATAAAATCACAGTGATTTCACAGCAGAAAGCATCTCATACATTATCCAATTCAACTTCATCTTACTACAGGTGCAAAGATTAAGGAAGTACAAAGAGCCATATAGCAACTTGTTCAATGTCCCACAACTAATTTATGACCAAGCCAAGATAATAATGAGGGTTGTTACTCAAAATAAGTAGGCTAAATACCTTTTCTTCTAAATTAACTTCAAATCATTCATCAGAATATTCTCATAATATGCAAATCATTTGATTATTTGTAAGAAATGATTTTCAGAAATTGTTGGTATGATCTTTTGACATGAATGTCACTAGCTAAATAATATTTCTGACCCACAATTTGGACATAAGAAATTCTTCCAAGAGCTTCCCCATTGGATCAACCATCATTAGGCCCCAGTACCTGGCACAGTGTTGCCGCTGGAAGGCAGCTGAGTACTCTGTGCACACCTCAGGGCTGTGTATACACACCTGCAAGTCACCATTCCCCATGCAGACCAGCACTGCCCATACCTCAGGCCGCATTGACAATGCCACCTTCTCCATTACTGATACTGGAAATGCCACTAACACCACTTTCCTCACCACCTGCTTTGCCAAAATTCAGATGCTTTAGAGCAGCAGTCCCTAACCTTTTTGGTACCAGAGACCAATTTTGTGGAAGACAAATTTTCCACGGACTGGCAGGGGTAGGGTGGGGAGATGTGATATGCGTCTGCATGCAATGGATTTATTATGCTCTCTGTGCAGTCAAACCTCTCTGCTGATGGTAATCCGTGTTTGCAGCCTCTCACCACCTCAGCTCTGCTTCAGAGCCTCAGGCATTAGATCAGTGATTTTCAACCAGTGTACTGTGAGGTGTGCTGCAAAAACTTTTGAAGATCATTGATTAAATTATTTTCAAAAGATGTTCAAAGCACAGTAAGTAAATTCTTTTTTTTAACTCTTTTTTCTTTGATCAGTATAATTTAAATGTGCAATGGAAGTTTAACTACAAGATCAAGTGTGCCATGAGATAAAAAAAAGAAGGTTGAAAACCACTGCATTAGATTCTCACAGGGAGCTCAGTACCTAGATCTGTAGGGTACTGAGGGTTCATGGTCCTATGAGAACCAAATCTGCCACGGATCTGCCAGAAATCTGAGCTCAGGCAGTGATGTGAGCAGTGGGGAGCAGCTGTAAATACAGATGAAGCTTCACTCGCTTGCCCACTGCTCACCTCCTGCTGTACAGCCCAATTCCTAAAAAGCCAGGGACCTCGGCTTTCTAGCTGAGAGCCAGCAGCTCTGTGATCATCAGGCCTTAGCCAGCCATCTATGTCACACCACCACTGCTTTGCAACTTCCAGGGAATGACACCTGTAGGACACTTATGGTCTTGAATAGTAGAAAATTTATTTAAATACAAAGATTATTCATCCTCTCTTGGCATCTGCTGAGACACCAAGATTGACCTTTTTATATATTCACTATCTCTCTCATCAACTAAGTCATGCTAAATACCAAAGGTTCATTGACCAGTAGTCATTGTAATGTTTTCAGCAAAGAGCTTAAAATAATGAGTTTGTTATGTTTTTATTGTTAATTGAATTTAATGCCTAGCCTGGTTACTATTTGCCAACAAGTATTTTACATCCCATAATCAAGTAAAATACATTGTTAAATAAACTTAACTATGGGCTGCATACAAGATTCACTTAAGCCTCGGTTATGCCACATGGCCAACCTGTGGGGAAAGTGACCAAGAATTTACTCTTTCAGTACTTTCGGTTATCTTTAGTGCTTCAGTAGACACCAGCAAAGAATGCTGAGAGTAGTCTATAAATCAACATACATTTATTATGCACCTACTCCATGCTTAACAATAAGCAAGCCGTAAGATTCCCGTTAACACTGACAATGAATGAAAATTTCGAATCTGTCTCAGATTCTTACCTCTGGTTTAACTTGTATAAAATCATAGCTGTGTACATTAATACTGTCATGGGGTACAATGTGCTGTGTTTATATACGATTTGAAATATTTTCATCAAACTGGTTAACATAGCCTTCATGTCATTTTCTTAGTTATTGTGTTAAGACATTTATATTCTACATTTAGAAAGAGTCACATGTACCCTTATAAGATGAACCATAGGTGTTGATCTCGGTTTTGTCATTTTAATGCCCTCATGGCATGCCAGTCTACATGAGTGCACCGAGCACCAAAACGTCCTTCCACTCTATCCACTCACAGCACTCTACTCTTCCGTGGAACTCAAAGCAGGAAGAATGTAGCAGGAGGCAATCAAACTTCAACAACTGAGTGAGAGGATTAAGAGCAAACAAATGAAAAAACAGTGTGCAAGTTCAAGTCTCAGACGCACCAGCTGAGGTTATTATGAGAAAGTAGTAACAAGGCACTGGACTCATTCAAACAATAATTCTTCACTTTTAAGGAGCTCTGATCATTATTTCCTATTAAGGGTATAAAGAAGCCTGTGCATATGAAAATTTAGTGAAGGGGAAGAGTGTAAGCATTTTTCACACATGTAGCCTTATGCTATGAGGACAACATGAAAGCTCCCTCAAGAATCTGAATACAGGGAACATGTAATACATGAAATACGTGAAACGCTCGTCTACTGATGTGGGATGGTAAATCGGCTAATCACTTTGGAAAATTCTTTGCATTGTGCAGAACAGTAAATCATATGCTATGTATGGACCAGAAATTCCTCCTTTAGGTGTATACACTAAAGAACGGAGTATATACCTCTACCCAAAGTTATGTGCAAGAATGATTACAAGAGCTTATTCATAATAGACCCATGCTGGAAACTATCCAACTCCACCTCTACAGTAGACTGGCTAAATAAAGTGTTCAAACAAAGTCATACCATACAATAATAAGAATGAACGGTTGACAATTGCATGCAACAATAGGAAGAAGGTTACGAACAAAATGTTGAACGACACAAAGATGCATCATATGATTTCAATTATATAAAGTACCAAAACAGGCCAAATTAACCTATGGTGTTGAAAGCAGGATACTGGGTACCTTTGGGGCTGGGAAGAGCAAGAACAGAACTTCTGAAGTGTTAGTACAGTTCTGTTTCTCAACCTGCATACTGCTTACATGGATATATTGTTTGTAAAATTCATCAAACCGAACACTTAAGCTATGTATACTTCTCTGTATTGATACTTGTGGCGGAATGTAAAAAAAAACTCCAATTCTTCACCCACCCCTGTATCCAGAGTTGACTGCGTGATTTTTTTGCACTTTCCCACTCTGATGCTGCACTTGACCATGTGACTTTCTTTAGCCAATAAGACACAGCAAACATTTTCTGGCAGTGACTTGAAAAATACTTGAATGCTCTCACTTCTGCTCTGTTCCTGTGAAATATCCATGAAAACATACCCAGGCTAGTCTGCTGGAGGATGGAACAGAGCACAACAAGGATGCCCCAGTCATCAGAGCCAGGGCCATCCTACATGAGCCAATAGCCAGCTGATTCCCAGATACACAAGTGAATCAAGAAGGATCAGAGAACAGTTCACTCAAGCCCAGCCATGAGCAAAATAAATGCATGTCTTAACACACTGAGCTGTGGATAGGTTGGTAAGCAGCATTACTGTACAGTAGACAAATAATAAAATTGTAGACTTTAAGTTTAAAAATACAGGTAATAAAAAAATTGGCTTAAAAGAGTTCCCTAACATATCTATTTGAAGCAAGGCCATACCCTGTTGGAAGGAGAATCTGCCTGAGATCCCACAGGACCTGGGTATGAAAAGCACACTAGGATACACATGCAAGTAACATCCAGGCCTGAGCCAGCCAGAAACAACTGGTAAACCAACCTGCAAACATTCTCTAAAGCACCTAGAAATTCTCTCCTTCAGGCTTTCCCAGAAAATGCAGAAGCAAACGGTTGCTTCTTCCACCTCCTATTTTAAAAAGATGCTCATCTTACTCTAAAATGTTTCACAATATTCAACAGGTCATATATAATTTTATTAATCATGAAGTATACTAGTTTCTGTTTCTGGTTTGGCCATGCTTCACCATGGAGATGTTTGTTTTTTTAAAGAGTTATTGGGCCCTTTTGGTAGGGCTTTGCCCAGGATGAACATTGATCTTGGGAACATGTTCCGCTGGTCCTCCAGCAGGCAGCTGAGTAAGGGCTGTGTTACCTGGATTAACCTGAGCTTTTGCAGCATTCAAGATAGGCAACAGCAGGAGTAGTACCAAGGGCATTCTGGGAATCAGGATCATCTCAGAAGGCGGTGTTGGAACTGGAGTCTGCAGGCCACCAACCATGCAAAATAAAAAAGAGAGAGAAAGAGAAAAGGACATGAGTGAAGCAGATCCCACCATCATGAATGAGCACCATTCTCACAGTTAATTCTGGGTTCCTGCAGTGCCCACTTCTCTATTTAGGACTTTGAATCATAGACTTGGGGAGTTGAATGGCACATCCAATGATCTCCTAATACTGAGAGTTTTCAAACTCTGTTAGATAGTATATTCCTGAAATTAAAATTAGCAATACTACAAATGGTGACAAAGTTTGGCTAAGATAAATACTTACCCACATGGTGAACAGTGGTAAAGTATAACTTGTATTTATTATGTCAACCAATGTCCTCATAATTTTGATATTGATTCCAGTATTCAACCAAGAAAAGCATTCAATAATTTTAACATTTCAAAATAGATAAGTCCAATATTTATCCTGATTCATTACTTCTGGAGTGGTACCTAGGATTCTGCATTTTTCAGATTCCTCAGAACGGTGTATGTGATAACAAACAGATTAGACTTGGAGATATCAGTATGAACTTATGCTTTGTTTAATAGAGATCCAGATAGTTACACATAGGAATATGTATAGGTATATGTCTATACTACGTGCATGGGTGAGTATACACACATACTATATGTTTTATCAGCAAAGAAGGCCTAGAAGCAATGACACCTCATTAGCAATGAGCAAACCTAATGTCCAGATCTTATAAAACTATTTGGCAATAAAATTAACCAAAGTTCTTTGGGAAAATGGCTGATTCGAGGACTGGAACAGGATATATACAAGACGAGCCTAGAGTACCAGTTAGTGCCAGAAATTGAGAAAGGCAATGGGGGTACATTAAAGAGATACAGGAGCCAACTGAAAGAGCTCCCAATAGCTAAAGCTGGAACAATTTGGGCAACCAACTACAAAATAAATATCCCTGAATTCATGCCCATGTAAATAAATAAGGGAAAAAGGCGGCCCCTGTGGTTCAGTGAGTAGGGTGCTGGCCCCACATACCAAGGGTGTTAGGTTCGAACCCAGCCCCAGCTAAACTGCAACAAAAATATAGCCAGGCGTTGTGGTGAGCGCCTGTGTTCCCAGCTACTCAGGAGGCTGAGGCAAGAGAATCGCCTAAGCCAAGAGCTGGAGGTTGCTGTGACGCCATGGCACTCTACCAAGAGTGACAAAGTGAAATTGTCTCTAAAAAAAAATTAAAAAAAAAAATATATATATATATATATATATGTGAGTGAAGAAATGACTGGGGAGAACAGACATATTTCCTATATGGAAGAACTCCAAATAACTTATGTAGATGACCTTACTCATAAGAAGATGAAGCATTACTACCACCCTTCTCCCAACTCCTTAAGTGTAAGCTGCCCATAACATTCTCCCAAGGAGTACAATATGAAGGCTTGGCACCCAGTGCACAGTGGTTACAGCGCTGGCCACATACAACGAGGTTGGCAGGTTCGAACCCAGCCTGGCCAGCTAACCAACAATGACAACTGCAACAAAAACATCACCGGGCATCATGGTGGATGCCTGTAGTCCCAGCTACTCAGGAGGTTGAGGCAAGAGAATCGCTTAAGCCCAAGAGTTTGAGGTTGCTGTGAGCTGTGACACTACAGCACTCTACCAAGGGTGACGTATTGAGACTCTGTCTCAAAAAAAGAAACGAAGAGTACAGTATGAAAATGAATAACAAAAAAAGAGTCACTCTGCATTGGAGAAATCAAACAAACATTTCCTCAAGCCAGGTGACCAAGTAGCATCAACACTGATAGTCATACTGGTAGTATGTGTCTTTGATATGAGGTCATGAGAATGGCAATTTACTTCTGCGGTTTTCTCCAAAACTGATTGCTCCAGTTTATTCATAAGAAAACCAACTGCGAGAGATTCTACAGAATTCCTGATGAGTAATACTCAAAACTGCCAAGGTCATCGGAAACAAAAAAGTCTGAGAAACTATCACGGCAAAGGGTACCTAAGGAGATGTGATGACTAAATACAATGTTATATCCTGGATGGGACCTTAGAACAGGAAAAGGGCATTTTAGAGAAATTTCTCATTTTTTGAGGAAATCTGCATAACGTATGGACTTATGTGTCAGTATCAGTTCACTTATTTTGACCACTGTACTACTGTAAGATGTTAGTGATGGGAAGACTGGGTATGGTAGATACAGGAATTTTATGTACAGTCTTCATAATGATTTTGTAAATATAAAACCATTTAATAAAACTGGAATAAAAAGTTTATTTAAAATAAAGTTCCTTCCAGGTAACACCAAGGGAGCTTAGTGTTAATAATAAACCAAGCATTGGGTCCACTGTCAGAAATTGTATGTGACACAATGTTATAAAGACAGAAGGAACTCCTTTAAGCTAGAGTGAGGGGGGAAGGCTTGGCTGAAAACTAAGCAGCCAATTAGGTTCCTGCAGGATGGGCAAGACTTTGATAGGCAGTAATGGGGATAGAGTAAGAGGGTAACACAGAGAAGGTAATTTTCCTAGGAAATAGAACTTGTCTGTGACAATTTCTAGGTCAGATATTCAGACAGTTTTGACTGAAGAAGACAGAGCCAAAGCAGACCAAACACAGAAGACTCAAGTGATCCCGTAGTGGGGAGTCGGGGTGGGTCATCCGCAGAGGGCAGAGGAGAGGGTCCTGGGTTCACAGCATTGATGTGGATAGAATAAAATACACGTCTCAGTGTGCCTAGTCTCTTCCGGCAGCAGCAGGAACACTGTGTTTCTGCAGATGAATTCCCAAACAAACATGCCTGGAAGAAGAAACGCAGGGGCAGATCCTGGGAACATTGCTCTTGGCTATAGTCTAGCGCCAGCTCATGACCGTGATCCAGACTCGTTCCACAAAGACCTGAGCTCTTGGTGAGCAGCCATTCAGTCAGCGCTGTGAACTAAAAATAAAACCCGAAGCCCTCTGCTAACTGAATGGACCCCTCTTGGCCAAGGGAAACTGACTTCCCAGTCACAACGGGCTGGAAGGCTATGGCACAATTACACAGGTATGACTTTCCCTTCATGAATATTCATGACCTGTTCCACAGCTTATTGAATATGTACACTTGACCACCCTGCTTCATGAATATTCATAACCTGTTCCATAGCTTGTTGAATATGTACACTTGGACCACCTGCTCTGTATAAAGCCCTGTTCCCTCTGTCTCTCCTCTGAAGTACCTGTATCTGGCTTCCAGCCTGGGCTCTCCTTCCCACCCTGTTGGAATGGCAGCCGGGCAGATTGCTACTCTTGGTGAGAAATAAAGCTCCCCTTTCTCCAAAGTATAAACCTCATCAATTTTGTTTTATAGTTAACAAATGGTGAAACTAAAGGACCCAGGGAGAACCCCAGTTTCCCCCAAAGGTGATCAGAAGTCAACACACTGGCATCTGCACAAGCCTGTTGATACCTCCGTGTCTCCGTGACCCCACTGGGAGAACTCATGTAAGCTCCTCTGGGCTCTATACCTCCCACTTTTAGGGTGAGGATATCAGAGACTTTATTGCTCTCCACCCCTCCCTTTCCTTTCTCTCCAGTTCCAGTTGCCTCCTTTTGAACCCCAGAGCGGATATCATTTTTGAAGGGAGATACCCCAGTTTCTCCAACTCACTCCATTCTGGACCTAGGAGGGAATGTTTTTATAGGTCCTGGGTTTGGGGGTAGGGGGGGACCTAGTTGGATTTAGCTGCTCCATAAGCGTTGGTGAGGACGCTCATGTTTCAGCACCTGGGAAGGCCACCCATAAAGCTAAGTGTGATGGTGGCCACCGTTATCCAAAATAACCATCACATGCAGGGCACTGCTGGACAGGCCCTTTGTCACCATCTGGATCTATTTATTCACTTGCAAGACCTTCTGTCATAGATACAACTAAGAGACTGGACACTCCAAGGAACATGGTACCAGTCAGGGACCCAGAGAATTTCGTGCACTTGGTAATACACTTTGTAAAGTAATAACTATGGATTCAGTGGGAATGCTTTGACAACATAACCACTTTAAGATACAGGGATGTTTTGTAACCTTGTAACCCATGAGGAAGAATATGTTTAACGCATACTATGATGATTAATAACATTACTGATGCTGCTTTTACTGTAAGAGTATAAAAGTAACAAAGGGAAACAGGAGAGCAGAGCAGCTCTTTGAGGAGATATCCTGTGTTCTCCAGAATTGCTGGCTTTTCTATAAATACAGTGAAGTTGTTGATCTATCATCCGCCTCTCTGTTGATTGGCTTGAGTGACAGGCATATGGACTCCTGGTCCAGCAACAAGTGCTGCTATAAAAACTTTAGTTCTAAGACAATGGTCTGTGATCCATTGCTATCAGAGACACTAGTGATTAACATGCTTAAAAAGCTATAAAAAATTCTTGTAAATGTTTGAAATCTAAAATGATTTAAAGCTTTGTGGGCCGCAATAAAATCTAGGAGACCTCTACAGTTGGCATACTCCATTAAAACAAAGAGGCTATCAAACCTTCCAAAACAGCAAAGATGACGCTATAATTGGTGTTCTCAGTTTTCCAAACGGGGTCAAAACTCTCTCCTAGCCTCCCATAAAGAGAACGATTTAAAGTTAAAAGAGACTCAAAGCAAAAAATAAACGACACATGAAATAGAGTCAGTTCTTCTTTCTTACCTCTCCTTCCATTTCTGCTCCTAAATAGTTGTTTTTCTTCTCAACTAGTTTTAAAGAAAATTTTCTCTGTATGTTGACCTTTGTTTTGGGGGGGGTTGTTGTTTTTTCTGTTGAGAAATGTCATACAATAATGACAGCTCCAATGCTTAGAATGGGATATAGCTCCTAACTAAACAGATTTATTCACAGAGCTAATAAATTAACCAAGGAAGATACAGGACAATGTATTTAAATTTGGGGGGTTTTGTCTCTTCAGTATCCCAATTTGTTTCCTTTTTTTCTTTCACTCTTCTGTCTAACAACCTCTAGCCCAAATTTCTCTAAAGCCT